TGTTTCAATTCGATTAAATTATCCTTCGTGCGTTTTTTTACATTCGTGCTGATTATAATTAATGTTAAATTCACGCGCAGATGAATGAGGACGTATATTATTATCTACAAAACCTGAATAATTATCTAATGCGCTATACGATAACGTCTAGCTCAACGATCAGTTTGTTCAATATCTACGCATGATTTTATACGACACTAATATAATTCTTAATCGCGCATATTATGTTGTCACGTTACAAGTTTCTCTTTCCGTTCGCATGCGCAAGAATTTTCTGTTACTAAAAGATGAGATACATAATAACTATCCCGACTCGAAATAACGAAAATCGCGTAACATGCTGTCTGAAATTAATTACTGTATCGCTCGCGCTTAGTGAAGTCGTCCCACTTCGTCCGACAGCATCTCGTACCGGCTGTTACAAACACCATCCTGTTTATCAATAATTTGAATTTGAAAGACGTACCGAGAAACGGCATCCCTGAGTTTGCAAGCCGCAACAAATTACGTCTATCGGGCGTCATTAATCACCCGGCATCTCCGACATCTACGCGAACGCAAACCTCCGTCCGTCGCCTTCTATTTATCGGGGAAAGACGGTGTTTCTGCTCGCAAATGGAAAATAACAATTACGTCACGACATCGCCCAACAACCTTGAAACAATACTCGTTTATTCCGCAATATGTTTTTAAAAAAAGGCAATTTTGCTTTATAATTTAATTTTGCTTTATTTATAAACTCTTTTCTGCAGAAATGTTGATACAAATTTTAGAGCATTATATAAATTTAAAAATGATATACAATGCATTATATATAATGCGATTTGACGTCCTTATAATAAATAATCTACATTTTCACAGAAAACAGCTTACAAATCCTGTCACTTTAAGCGAGTGAGTTTACCACCGACATTATTACCGTAAATCGCGTAAACATCCGATTCGCCTCGAGTCCCGTAGCAGGGGTAATTTTAATTAAGATAAGTGAGTTTGAGGTGTCGACGGCAAGGATTATTCGAAAATAATTTCGACGAACATATATAATGACACGCCCGGTTTATTCGACGCGCTGATCTACGGATTACCTTTAGTCGAAGAGAGAGGATACCCATCCCGCGCGCGAACGAATAAATTACGCGTTGGTAACGTCGAGGGGGTGGTGATGGCGGTGGTGCGGGCGACGTAAGATTAGGCGGAGTTCGCGCAGGGGAGAGGAAGAAAGATAGAACAACACGTGAAACAACGAGCGAAAAAGATGCCGAGAGCGGCTGGAAGAAGAGAGAGCAGGAGGGAGGGAGAGAGAGAGAGACATGGACGAACCAGAAGGAGAGCAGGTGCAAACTTGGCCTGTCAGGAAGTCGCTTACAGCTCGAGGACAAAAGCTTCCCCAGGGACTCGTGCGCGCTTGGAAGCGGCACGAGGGACATACAGGTCGGTCTGGATGGTGGAGGAAGATGGTTGAGGGAGTTAGAGGGGTATGAGAGGGACGAGCCTAACTGTGAAATAACAGGGTGGCCTCCTCAACCCTCGCCTTGAGGATGCGAGCCTCATACGTCACTTCCTTACGGCGAAAGAGGGCGGTGTCTAAGGGTAGAAGCGAGTTATATTGATTTATTTATACCGAGGAAGCATCTCCGACGTGATGGGGTTATTGGGTACGCACCTATATCTTATAACATCCGCTACAGTCTCTCCATGAGCGGCAGAGCCGGGTACTGGCATCTTCTCCGAATCTCCTTATTTCGATCTGAAAGACTCGTGGATCGATGATGCGAAATCATTTCGTAGTACATATATACTGGAATTTTTATAATTATCAACATTTCTGCAGACATATTTTTAAGAAAATTGCTTATAAAATTAATAATATCTTTTTCAGGAATTTTTGCATAATGTATTTAATTAAATTTAATGTATTAATATATATGCAAAGTCTCGACAACTTGCAACGATTATCGAAGATTAAAAAAAAAGAAATAATACGCGTGGCACCGTTGAATTTTCCGTTGTCGAAACCAGTTAGTTATGGAAAAATCTCCGGCGACGCAGGAAGGGACGAACGACGTCCGTCGCGTGCCCGACGCGTTACATTCCAATTTATAACCGTCAGCTGTTGTTGGGCGCAAAAATAAAGCCTCATAGCGGGAATTTGCGTCGCGCATCGTGGCTATACAAATTCAGTTGCCGGCAAAGATGACGTACTCGTCGTATCACGGTCCATTCACCTCCCACCGATCGTACCCCTCCGGGGCTTTGCCCGATACATGACTCGGCCCTGTGGCATGACTGTCGCGAACACACGAACCCGTTAGACCAAAGTTAACTCGCAATTTAGCTACGGTAATCATTCAAAGAAGACGTCTCACTTGATACCATCTAACGAGTCTTCTTTTCTTTCGAGAAAATATTTTTTGCGCTCGCTGCCAGATGCGATGATTATTTTGCAGGCGATAAATGCAAAATTAATTTTTCATTCATCTTTAATATTATCAAAATTTTAGAAATAATATTTTCATCCTTGTTCTGTTTCAAGCTCAGTTTCGCTCTATTCTTTTGCAAAAGATTTTTCAAAAATTTGTTTTATACATTCGTCCGAATAAAACGTTCTTAGCATTTCGTGACGTATACGTTCACGAATGTCACATAGATTTGACATATGACAGTCGTCATAGCCGTGTACCGAAATTCGGAGAGTTTGGGTGAAAATACGGTAGAAACTCCAGAACTTTTTAGAATTCCCACGGTAAATCACAGTTACAGAGTTGATGGGGCGATGTGTATGATTACACCCTGTCTCCTAGCGGCTATAAATCTCCATCCATTCGCCCCACCCCATATCCTAGGATTCTACAGGTATCCAAAGGACCTGTGCCTCCGAGGACTTCGAAATGGCCGTGACGTATGGTCTGCCGGTGCGTAATGGGTCGGCAACGCGAGCAAATGACTTTGAATAATCCTGATATATTGTTTATTCACTTATTCGCGCCGCGGAAAGATGAAATCTCCGTCAACGAGATATTCTATGTCGAAGCGAGAACATACTTTGGATATTTACACGCGAACGTTCAGCAATCGACGCTTTATCCCTGCGTCTTTCAACGTTTCTTTAACTTGTACAACAAGATATCGATGAAGAGAGGTTTGTTTCGATAGATTTGCCCACGGATCAGGTGCCAGGACACTAATCTCTTGTCATTAACACGATCCCGGCTGTCCCTCGTGTCGGAATAACCATTATTTTCGAATCACCGACGCAGCCCTGTCATTTCGTTTCACCAGAAACTGACGGGACGTACCGTGACCGTAACAATCAAGAGAGTTAAACGCACATCGCTCGGCACACTATAATCAACGTTGGATTCGTTTTTAAATCCATTAGTTTGAAGCGCGAGCCAGTTATACTCGAATTGAACGCGGACTTTGAAATGATATTCGGCATTAATTGCCGTCGAATCCATCGAAAGGATTCGATTTCACATATTTTATTTGAAATTTATGTCTCCGTGTGCATCTCTGCAAGGTAATGGGATAATTGATCGCATGCAAAAATGTTACAGAACTTAATATCGGTGCACTATGCGCGCTTATACAGAGGATGGGCTGAAGCGAAGCAATTTTCTGCTTTCCAAGAATATAATTTTCGCAGGGGGATGTGCCCGCTATATTTCCGAGATAAGACTATAGCTCCGCGGGATCTTCTCTCACCCAGCGAGACCCTACTCTCTCGTGTGAAATTACTTCGCTCCGCGGCTTACTCTTATCCCCCGGCGCCACCCTTTCTTACCGTGTATCCTCATTCAGCCGGGATCTCCCTGGAAATAAAGTAGATACCTTTCCTATTTTCGCATCTGGAAAATTGCAATACTGCAGCCGCGAGTGGTGCTCTGCGCTTGATAAATCAGTTGGGAGCTAGAAACTCTGAATTTGCGTTGCACCAAGAAAAAAATAAGAAATTATTGTCTTGTTTCTTTAGGTGAACTATTTTTTATAAGTAAAATACTTTTTACCTTTCGATCGCAGGATTTACGTGGAAGATTGCAATATTGTAACCGCGAGTAACGCTTGATAAATCATTTGGAAATGGGAGCTAGAAATTGAATTTGCCTTGCTACACGAAGAAGTAAATAAGAAATTATTCTCTTATTTTTTTCGTAAGCAAAATATTTTGTATGAATAAAATATTCTTTCGATCACAAGGTTCACGTGACGAAATTGATTGATACTACGCTTGAATAATGTAATCGACGAATAAATGCCACGCAATTCAACATAAGTGTGGCTTCCTGTACACTCTTAACTAATTACTATAATCTACATAATTGGTAGGATTATTCTTGGTGGAGTAAATCGCATAGAGTTAACGTCGCATGTTAGCCGCTGAAAAAAGAATATAAGCGCTATAATAGCATACATATATAGAGCATAGTACGCGATAGAATCTGTTTGACCGAAGTCGTGACGCCGACCATCACGAATCTTTTGCTTTCTCCACATCGACCTCTTCTGCATACTTTTTCTCCGCGGTATTCGCATAATGTTTTCGTGCGCGGATCGATACGAGAACATCTATTTTTACACGAAAACAGGCTATTTCGTGCTACCGGTACGATTTTTCTACATCATTTCGAATGCGGCGTTGTAATCGTCGACGTTTTATCTCGAAAAAATTCATTGAGGAATTTTTTCCATAACTCAAATCACAAACTTGATAATATCTTCTTTGCTATAATGCATTTAAAGCGTATCAACGACGTTGGTTGATTTGAAAATGGAAATTTATAGATTTACCGTTCCTCTCTAACATTAAGTTTTTTATACCTTTGCTGAAGGTGTGCATAAATGCAAGATATCCGGTTTTAACGCAATCGCGCTTCTTACAAATATATATGTTTATTAATGTCGTAAAGAACGAATGGCAAATGGGATGACTGAGAAACTAAGTTTATCATAATTATGTTGTAATAATTTTTCTTTTAACAATGAAAAAAAAATGTTTTCAGGTAAATGGTGTCCTCGTAGAGAATGGAGTTCGCCGCCTGACGCGCAACGTGCGGCGAGCGACGCACGTCGTGGTGTCCTTTATTCCTCCGTCTTCCTCGGCAGTCCCGGTAAGTCGAGTTCTTCGTATAAATCTCAAATTATTTTTTAACATTTCTTGTCATTGCACATGTGTATAAGCGCGACGCTCTCAATCAAAAACTGCATTTAGCAATCTCGAAATAATAAAAATTCGTTGTATCAATTTCAATTATATAATACTTTGTCTTGTACGTAACGCGCTTATACGTTGCAGTGATTTCTAAGAGATTTTTTTTAGACGCGAAGATGATATCACATCAATCGTTCGTTTGCATCATCAAATGTAATAAATTTTCATATTAATTTTTATGAATTTTTGTTAGAACTTGACATTATTCAATAATCTTTTAACAGTAAAAAATAATTATTATTTTTTCGATTATTATTTTTTTCCATTGATATTATTTTTCATCCGCTCTTTCTTTCTCTCATTTACTTGTAAAATTTTTAAAAGCTCTCTAAACATTTTTTTCTGTAATTTTCTATTTCAATTGCATGTATAATTTCGATATTTTGATCGCAAAATTTATGTATATACTCTTTTGTATTTTGCTCTTTTTGTCATTTTATTTGTACAATTGTTACTGCTATTTTTTGTTAACTTTTACGCTTGAGGGAATTTCAGAGCGTTGAAAAATAATTCTGACAATGAGTCGAATAAACAAATAACATGAATAATAATTGCAAAAATTAAGTGCCTTTTAAAGATTGCACGACTCTGCAATTTTTTTTGGAAGCAATTAATTTTTTCATCTACCAGCATATTTAATTATAATACTTTTCAAGGGCGTAATACACAGTGTAAAGCTGCGCGTAATGACATTCACGATGCGTGAATTTATTTTGACTCTCGCCTGAATTAATCTTCAATCATTTTTAATCGTGCGTGCCATGCGTAAGGCAAAGAGAAAAGGCGCGATCGTTTTATGCGTGCACTTCGTGTGCGTTCAGTGGGAGGAGCGAATCGTTGGCCGTATAAACAAGTTTTAATCGGCCTCGGGCATTCGCCGCGTTGAATAAATATTGATATCGGATGACGCGACGGCCAATCAGAACCGCGGTTTATGAAACGGAACGCTTTACATCTCGTTTGTTTCGCGCGCGAATAATTTTGCTTGGCGATAGTTAACGAGCATACGCAGTGTACAAAATTGTAGACAATTCGCCGGAAGTTCCGTTTATTATTTCCAAATTAAACTCGATTCGCATAGATACCGGCGAATATAATCGAAAATATCTCACGCGCTTACACCCTATCGATACCGAATATACATGTAAGCTAAATCGAACGATATTATACGTTACAATAGTTTTGAAAAAGATAATGAGTGGAGCAAAGATTTAAAAAGAAAAAATGTTTTGATATCATACTTCCGTCTTTTCGTTCTATTCTATCACGCATGCGCGATCTCGCTTCAAGGAGCGACATTGCGTCGATCCTGTTGGAGGGACATCAAGATCCTCTCGAATGCCACAGATAAGTATCGTGCAAGAGTGTATTACGAGGTTGCGTCAGTGATTCGCGTTTGATAAGTGATCAAACTGTTCCGGAAAGTCATCGAGCCTCGATATCGCGGTGGACCAAGTATCGCGCATGCGTACACGTCCACGGGCTGTCTCTCCCGTCCGTTTCTCTCTTTTTCGACTTCCCTCTCTCCGGTATCCTCCGCGAAGGAAGGACGGAGCGAGGGCGAGAGAACGAGCCGCCCGTCGTCGTCGGAGAGAAGATTGGCGCCTCGAGAGCGAGGAAGACGGAATTTCGCGAGTGCGAGCGAGCCGGCTTGTCGTGCGAGCGGAGCAGAGAAAGCGAGAGAGCGGAAAGAGCGGTGAGAGGAGAACGAGATGGACCAGGGGATGCCGTCGTCTCCATGGCAACGAGGCGAGGCGGGAATGCGACGGTAACCATGGCAGCCGCGGGTTCCTCTCTCGGGCCGACCTGTCTGTCCCTCTTTCTGGCCTCTCGTCCTCCTCGTTCTCCTCATCTGGACCTCTTCCTTCCGCCCACGGAGCGAGCAAACGGCCGCGCGGACGCCGCTCCTCTCGAGCCGATCTGTAAAGGAAAGGTGGGGCGGACTTGGGCTCGCGCATCGTCCAGAGAGAAAGGGTTTTACTTTTTCTTCTCGTTTCCACCTTCGTTTCGCGCGGCCTCACGTGAATCCTTTTTTCCGTATTCAGGAGCATCGAGTCGATCTCGATGTAGCGCGCGAATAACGAGAGGTATTTAATGGCGACGCGCGATTGCAAAATTTCATTCGATTCGGCGATAGCGTTGACACGTTCCAAATGATAGCGCGAATTACGTTTTCGAGATGGATGTAAAATACCAAATTTACAGTAAATGTATACGTTTACTTTTATCTATATATAGAATTATCCTTCGTTGTTTTATTGTAGAGAGGTAAACATCGTGTAATCTTGAAGGAACGACCCACACTTTTTATTCATCTTATCATTCGACGAGCTTTTTTCTGCACATTCCCAACTATAAATTACACTTTTCTATACTCTTTAAGCAAGCAGCACGTCAAAGTTGCATACGTTAGTCGATAACTATCGACATTCTTCGACGCGGAAACGCGGTTCGCCACTCAGCTTGGGCGCGGAATATCGTAGACGAGTCTGATTATGCGCGACTGTCGAGGAATCCCGAGATTCCAGGCGTCGTTTAACTCTCGATACGTCGCGCGACGAGAGTCAAGTTTCTGCGTCGACGACGACATTAGCGTGCCTCCGCGTTTTCCCTGACTGCATATTTCCGTCTCGCCGTCTATTATACGAAGAGCGCGGCGACGGAGATATCTGCCGACGTCTCTCTCGTGTTATTTCGAGTTTCGTAAGAACGCGTTCGAAATGGCACGTCCTGACTGACGTCGCGATTTTTCTCCGATCATTGTAAACACGATCGCTGCGAAAGTTGGTCCGATCTTCCTCGCGTTTTCGTTCCCGAGCTTATCTCTTTGCGACTTGATTTGATGAAAATGAAATGCAAAATATTTTTACATCTCGAGTCTCGATGAATTCTATTTATAATCATTAATCAAAGTCTCCGAGCTGGAGTAACTTCCATCGCAATTTCGCGTTCGTTGAGACGGAATTTCGACCGCGGCTTCGAACAGGGTGGGACAAAACGAATTAGGATGCGGTAGCAAAACAAATTTGTCGAAATTTCGTCAGAACCGGTACACGACCGCTCGCGCGCGGGCAGATCTCGTTACGTTTACTGGTAGAAGGAGGTTAGCCGAGACGGGGAGCGATGAATGCCGGAGGTGAAAGAGGAGGTGAACGGAGGTAGACGGGTGGAATTCTCTCGGTTTGGTTTTTCGTGGGTCGCACATTACGTCTCTCTCCTCTCGCCGTTCCCATCGCGCCGAACTACCGTACTGTGCACCCCCTCCCCCCTCCTCCCTTCTCGCCGCTCCCTCGTATCTCGCCCTGCAATAGCACACGGCATGGCTCCCTTTTCCGTGAGTGTGTAACGTAATGTAAGGGTTGCGCCCGCGTTGGCGTTTGGGGTGAGAGAGTTTAAAACCCCTCGGGGCTTGAGGTCCGGGCCGGTTAGATTTATCGGATGTTTTGGTTGGCGGCCATTGTTAGCCGCTCTCTCTTCACTCTCTTCCTCTCTTTCGCCACTCTATGCACAGTGGCGTAGCTCGTGCTACATCGTTGCTAGAAAATCATTTTTCAATCTCCCGCAGTGCATTTCGGGTGTCTATGGGTGATGAAAGAGAATCGACGTAGCTAGATATATCATTCGGGTTATACATTCGTTGCCGCACTTCGTGTTTGCTTTTTGTCTAATGGGATATATACTTTCTCCACGGTCGTCATTGTCGTTCATTAATATCATAATTGGCAAAGTTTGTTAATTAAAGGCGCAAAAAGAGTCGAGAGAAAAGAATTATAAATGGAAAATGTTGAAAGCACCTTAAACATCATGTAATATAATTCCATCTGTAAATAAAAAATTCATTTTATTTTGGCAATAATCTTGGATTCGTAGCGTCGATAAATTGTGCCCTGCGTTTATGCAATAGAGACTTTTTCGCGAGATTTGACGTATGTAACGAGTGTGTTTTTAGCTTTTTCATCGACAAAAAAATTTACGATCGTATCACGTATATCTATACGTACGGTTATCGTATAATCCATATAAAGTGACTTTGCTAATCTCGATATATAAGAAGCGAAACATAGAGAACGTTGCAAAAAGAGATGTAAGATAAATGCAATTAAGCAGGATATGATTCCCTCGATTAGATCGTTATGTAAGCTGAGAAAACAGAGTAATGAAAGAAAGTTTGCGCGATTATACCAATATCTCGTTTGATTATCTCGTTACGCCATTGCGGGTATCCTTTCGTGGCGTTCCGCGTGCAAACATTCGTCGACGAAGCTCCTCCGCAACGCGGATCCTCGCCGGTATTGTACGCGGTAGTTTGAGCGATGTTCAACCTCGCGGCTCGCGACCCTTGGACTCAACCCTTTCGACCGCAGTTCCGTTTGTCTCGGTACACCGCGATTCCTCCAGGAGCAAGCAACCATAGCCTTGTCACGTAATCGATACAATACGGATAAATGCTCAACCCGGTTTTGTACAAAATTATTCGCGTGTGTGGGAGAAGATAATCTCTTGCTTTATTATATTAATACATGTCAACAATTGTTTGATTATAATTATAATAAATAAATATTCGGTTATATTGACAAAATGGCAATAACAATGCGTTAGTAATTTTTCTTCAAGTTCTTGAGGAAGAAAGTATATGAGTAATCTTAAAACTTTATTTTTAATCTTTATTTTTTATTGAGGAAATTAATGAAAAAGATATGTCAGTCAAATAATGGGGCAACGAAATAAAAATAGAAATAAAATAAAATGATGTAAAATAAAATAAAAGATGTAAGCGTGGAAGGGAGGATTCCGTAAAAAGAGACGAAAATAAAAAGTTCGCAAAGCGAAAATATGAATTAATTGGAGTTTTATCGAGCGATATCAGGGAAACTCGAGATCACGACTATCGGTCTGGCG